TTACCCCTCATCAAATTATTGCACAAGAAACAATAGTTTTATTTTATTTATAATTAAGTTTAAAAAATGTCATTGAAAATGAAATATATTTTAAATTATACATTTAGTGGTTGAAATGTTATTGCATTGTTTTTTTTTTTAATATTATGATGATTAGGCCCACAATTGGTGAGTTTTGTAATATTAGTCTCATCATTATCAACACTAATAGTTAATTAGTGATATTTATTTGACAAAACATGCATCAATCATCAAGATACCATCCAATCTTGTTGTCAAGTTTCAAAATAATCTCTTTATATAACCCAACCTCTATAAGATTAAGGGTTTAAAGCTATACCAAATATGTATATGATATAAAGTGTCAAATCAAATGAGAATAACAAATATGCTATAAACCCGTAAGAGTATGATACAAAAAGATTTTTTTACATTATATTTTTTTTTCATTAAATACTAGGATTTAAGATATTGTTTCACATATATTTGTTTCATAATATGATAGTTTTACATGTATTTGTTTCACCATGTGAATATTTTTTATTAGGCGTGTTTTTTATTTCACTAGGTGAACCATTTTTTTTCCTTCACATGTGATCTTTTCACAAGGTGAACACAAACATATGTGAAATAATATCTTAAAATACTTTAAGAGGAGTTTCAAATTCCGATAACAAAAATCTTTTCGTCATATATATATATATATATATATATATCATATATACTTTAAGAGGACTTTCAAATTCCGATAACAAAAATCTTATATTATAAAACAATCGTTATATTTTTAGACGATGACCATCATTCATTCATTATGATCGTGATATTTATAAAAGATGATAGAGTTCATATATTATAATCTTTGCTTTTAGATTAAAGAAAATCAAAATATTTATAAAAACAAATATTAATTTGAAATAATTTGATTTTATTATTTTTTATTATGTGCTACACCAATTTACTATATATGATGATTGATTTGATTTGGGTTTTTAAACAAAAAATGAACATAATGATTACCAAAAAGAATCAATATACCTTTACTCTAATACAATATTGTTTTTCCCTTTTCTTTTCAAAATAATTTAACATTTAGTTTAAGATATAATTTAAACTAAATATTTCTTTAGTGATCATCTAATTGACCCCTATATTGTATCTCATTCATTGTAGAACTTGGTATTTTATTAAATAAAGTATTTTTTAATTAATCATTAGATATTATAATAGATCAAATAAGTTTGTATATTATAATCCGTCTCATCGATATTTCATATTGATTATTGATAGACACATATAATTAGGATACTATCCAACAAGGTTATCAAATTTGTAAAACGTTTCAAAAGAGATCACTAAATCGGAAAAGATGTCAAAGAAAGTCATCTAACTTTTAAGTTTATGCCAGTCACATTAAATCCGACCAAAATTTTCCTTGCATACATGTTTCTGTGAAGAAAATATGGTATGATTGAATATGTGTGCTTTAACATGTTTATGTTTTATCTGATTTTAAGTAATGATATATGTTATTCACACTACAATTATATATGTTATATTGTCATATTGCCTGATAATTAGTCTTAAGATACAACAAGGATAGGTATGAATTATTCAACATTTGTTAAATGAGACTAATGTATGAGGTTTCCCTATCTTGTATGCGTCTTTCATTAGCTAAACTAAGGGTGCGTTTGGTTTGCAAGAATGTTTATGAGGGATTTGAATTTGCAGGAGGGATTTGAATTTGGAGGGATTTGGATTGGATTGGATTTAAAATCCATTCCTGTGTTTGGTTTGCAGGATTTGGATTGGATTTGAAATCCATTCCTTTATAAATCATGTTTGGTTTGCAGGATTTGAATTGAGATTTTTTTTTCTTTTGTAATTATTTTAGTCACCAAATCTCTTTCATTTTCTCAAAACTATCTGTTAACAATCAAACTTTTTCATCCAAAATGCATATTTATTTGTAGAATTCTAATTTGTTGAGGCTGTTATTAAGTAATTATTTGTGTAGCTATGACATGAAGTTCTATTGATGCAAAAATTGTAAGTACAAATCGGAACAGAATATGCAGAAATCGAAGTACAATATGCAGAAATAGAAGTACAAATCGGAACAGAAATCGTATTGTGAAGTCGTAGTCGAAGCAAGTAGAAATCGGAAACATTAAATCCTACCTGTCTTCGATAAGCAGAAATTGATGAGAATAGAAAAAGGTTCGGCGATGGAGACGACCACCATGGAAGAAAGTGACGGAGATGGAGACGGCCACGGTGGGAGAAAGCGATGGAGACAGAGACGACCACCGTGGGAGAAAGCTACGGAGCTGGAGACGACCACAGTGTGCTCAATCGATGGAGACGACGACGGAGGAGGGTGGAGGAGACGGTGAGCGATGAAAATGGAGGAGAAATGGAGGATGCGATGGAGACGTGAGTTAGGGCAAAACAAATCCCACAGGAATGGATTTTTAAAAAACCATGTGCTTCCAAAGGATTCTAAAATCCATCGGTCACGGGATTGTAAATGAATCCCATGATTTTAAATCCTACCAATCCTACAAACCAAACACAAGATTGAAATGGATTTTAAATCCAGTTCCATTCCATTCCTGCAAACCAAACGCACCCTAAGAGATGTCATGAACATTTCTCGTCTTTTTGATAGCGTAAGAAATATAAGACAAATTGTAAAATTTATTTATTTGACAAAGTAAAATTACATTAGATAACGATCAACTATTAAAAATGTTTCAATTTGGTTACTCCATAATTTTTCGTCCGATTTTAGTCCTTCAAACTTCAATTGAATTGATCTTAAATGATCATAACACCCCTACAAAGTTTGGGGGTGTTTTAAATATTTATAAACTTTACTAAAAATGAATTTTTAAAATATAGTGATGCGTAACAAGTTTGTGTGCTTTTTATCACGCATCAAAAGGGATTGAATAATGTTTACCCGATTGTCCTCTCATTTTCACTCTGTTTATTTAAAACCAACAATATATTATAAAAAAAAAGGATTAGATTAGAGAAGAAAAACAAAATATAAGGTTTGCAAGAAGCAGTACCACTCGGAGCCAAAATAGACAACAAAATCAAAGAGACAAGCAATATCAAACCACAAGAAGAAAGCGGCCAACAAAAAACCAACGCCTACACAACTCCATTCATGTATCTTTATTTCATTCCCAGATCACAAATAGAAAATGCTGAACTTGGTATCCATACAAACAACCATTGATTAGCATATTGGTAAAACTTGTCGAAGTCAAAATCCTCAAGATAATCGTAATAACCCAATTTCATACTTTTGGGTATTTAAATAACGATGGAGGATGAAGTTGAATTGTGGTCTATGTGCAAGGGCAAGAGTGTAAATATTAAGTTAAATGAATGGGTCTTCAAGTTTTACCTCATTGTGATCGGTTGAAATGAAGTGAGTATGTGATCGCTTGGGAGAGAAAATTGGTGGGAAGAAGAAATATCTCGAAGAATGAAGAGTAACAAGCCTGAGATCTTCAATTCTAGTACAAACTTCATCCTTTCTTATGTTCCTTTAATTGTGGTTGAATTTTAATTTAGGGTTTTAGACTCTATATTGTGGTTGGGAAATTTTATGGGAGAAAGAGATAATATGGAATGAAATCCTTTCAATATTGGGTTTCATGAGGGATCCTTAATCAATCTCCCATGGTGTTTGGGTTGGAATTGATCCAACCCTTTATAGATTTGTTTGATTTCATCATTTGGTTAAGAATTCTTAAATTCTTTAATTGGATGAGAGTAGAGAAGTGTTGGGGAATGATTAATCTTTTATTTTGTGAATCTATGCACCTTAATGTTAGTAGAAATCATTACAAATTTGAGAAATGGAGCTGTAAATCTCGAGCAAGAACTGTGCAGGGGCAGTGAGTTCCGCAGGTTGTCCCATGACCTTGGCCACGTGCCAGGTCTCGTAACCACTGTATCTCAAATTTTGACTTTTGACAGAGAAGTAGTTTGGGCTGCATTTTAGGTTGTCATCTAAGGGAGTTATTGTATTCCGTTATAGGGTATAATAGAAGTAATAACCCGTCTTTTGGTAATCTCAATTCAGGTGCTCGGTTGGTTTAATAATAGCCTAAGGGTGCATTTTAGGCTTGGAACTCAAGTGAGTTTCCTTACTGTTTTTGTGATAATAGATCACTTGCTAGTCATGTTGATATTGCTTATTACTTTGAGTTCATATTGTTGGCTTCATATCAAAAAATTGTTTATTTTTTGTAACACCCCATCCCATATTTGCATAAAACATACATGTTTCATTTAACATGAAATTCAAATAATACACACTAGTCCCAAATATACACATCGTTGTCAAAAGTTACAACAAACATTTTCTCACAAATTACATGACTTGAATATAACAAATTCACAGCTCATGTATTTCACAGCTTCTACAAAATTTGTGTTCATCAAATAATAGATGTAAAGTTATAACACTTCCAACTTCCCTTTATGTAATAACCCACAATGTACAAAAGTACTAACGAACAGAACTCATGTTATAGCATACATCAGGTTTCCATATTTACAAACATTTCTAGTGTGTTCACAAAAAACTAACCCAAAACTCTGAATTAACAAAAATCTAGTCATAACAAAAACTTTCTTCTATCACATCTTTCCTTTGCCTTTATCCTTTGATGATTGATGACTTGCAAAATAGATTATTACAACAATTGAGGGTTAGACCGAAAGGTCTAATGAGTGAATTTCCTTCCTTTAAATAAAATCTGTTGTAATAGTCTAATACAATTAAGACCTAATTTTTAATGATAAATTATCAAACATCTATCGCGGTTACACCGCCATTTCATCTATCACGGTTACACCGTCATTTAATTTATCAGTCAAAAACATCCTTATCGGACAATACTGTGAGCGATGAGAGTCAATCCGGAAACACTTTGAGTGGTGAGGGTCCTTATCGGGCAACACTATGAGCGATGAGGGACCAATCCGGACAATACTGTGAGCGATAAGGGTCCAATCCGGTTAATACCTTGAACGATGAAGGGCCTTATTGAATGAAGCTTTGAGCGATGAATTTTCATAACATACTTAGTAAAATGATATCTAACATTATAACACAAGCAGTTCTATATGAAGCGTAATAACTCACAAGTTATCAAAGCCATGTAACACTCACCTTTAGAATGAAGAGCTCACTGAAAGCAATAATTCTTCTTTCTTTCAATCAAGTCTTTTGCTAGTCCCTTTTCAGATTCTTCCTCCTTACTATTTATAGTAAGTGAAGTACTAAGGAGAATAAAAAAGGGGGGTTTGAGGCGGTGCATGGTCATGCACCCTCCATGTGCATCCATCACCTTCTAAAAACTTCATTGGACCAAAAATCCACATACATCACGGAGGTGACCAATATTTACTATTGGTCCCTCATTTTCAAACAAATGTAAAAACTTTACCCCTGAATTTCCATAGGTATTTGTTTTTGAAACCCGATCAATTATAACTGAACACTAATTATTACAATATCTCCTCCTTAAGAATTCCGTCCCAGAATTCCATTAAGTAAACAAATAAGGATATTTTACTCGTATCTTAGACTCGGGTTCCCAAGTGGCTTCCACCCCTTATAAAAATGCCACTGAACTTTCACTAACCCAATCTCTTTATTTCTCAGTGTTTTTACTTTGAAATATGTGATAGCTTCAGGAGTTTCTTCAAAACACAACCTTTCATAAATTTTGATTTCTGGTAGTGGCATAACTACTTCTGGGTTTGCTAGACACTTTCTTAGGTTTGATACATGAAAAGTGTTATGAATACCACTTAATTCCCTAGGAAGCTCTAGTTTGTATGCCACTTCTCCAACTCGTTCAATGATAGGAAACAGTCCAACATACCTTGGGCTCAATTTACCCTTATTTCCAAATCGAACCACCCCTTTCCAAGGTGATACTTTCAGCATCACTTTCAACTTGAAACTTAATCGGCTTACGACGTTTATGAGCGTAACTTTTCTGCTGATCCTGGGCTACTTTTATTCGTTCACGAATTTGATTAATCTTATCTGTTGTCAGCTGAACTATATCAGGTCCAGCCAATTATTTCTCTCCCACTTCATTCCAACACAGCGACGTTCGACATTTTCTCCCTACAATATTTCAAAAGGTGCCACCTGCATACTTAAGTGATAGTTGTTATCGTAGGAAAACTCAATTAAAGGTTGACTACCCCATATCCTACAAAGTCAATAACACATGCCCGAAGCATGTCTTCGAGCGACTGGATCGTTCGTGCACTTTGTCCAATGGTATGTGGTTGATAAGTCGTGCTTAACTTTATTTGTGAACACATTTCTCTTTGGAAACTCTTCCAAAACATATACGTGAATCGACTGTATCGATCAGTAATAATGGATAATGGTACAGCGTGACGTGTTACCACTTCATCAATATACAATTTTGCTAGCCGGTCCATAGAATACGATTCTTTCATTAGTAAGAAATGAGTAGACTTAGATAATCGATCCACAACAACCCATATAGCATTAAACCCCTCTGGTGTTCTCGGTAATTTGGTTATGAAATGCATAGTAATGTGATCTTATTTCCAAATTGGAATTTCTAACGATTGCAACTTATCGTAGGGTCGTTGATGCTCTATTTTCACTTGCATGCATGTCATACATTGATTAACATGTCTCGCTATATCCTTCTTCATGCCCGACCACTAGTAGAATTGTTTCATATCTCGATACATTTTATTTGTACCCGTGTAGATGGAAAAACGAGATTTGTGAGCTTCACTTAAAATTCGTTCCTTGAGATTACCATAGCACGGTACCCATACTTTACTATGAAAACACAACAATTTCCGACTGTCTTTTACTAAATCAGATATCACCCCACCAAATCATTCTTGCTTGATCTTGTCTTTTCTCACAGCTTCGCTTTGAGATCTTTGCAGTTCTTCGTGAATGCTTGGCAAGAACTCAGCTCTTAATGCTATAGCTTTAATTGTATCACTCTTTTCTTTACGGCTTAACGCGTCAGCTACCACATTCGCCTTGCCTGGATGATACAAGATCTCACAGTCATAATCATTAACCAGCTCCAACCATCGTCTTTGGCGCATATTCAATTCTTTCTGATGGAATAAATGCTGCAAACTTTTATGATTAGTAAAAATTTGGCACTTAGTCTCATACAAGTAATGCCTCCATATTTTTAAAGCAAAAACTACAGCTCCAACTCCATATCATGGGTAGGATATTGCTTTTCATGATCCTTTAACTACCTTGAGGCATAATAAATAACCTTTTCATGTT